TCACAATTTGCCCTTGAATTTTATTGATAAATTTGGTAAAAAAACAGTTGCCCGGATACTTTTGGCAGGTTGGTGTATATTTGCGCCTATATGAAACGTTCAATAACTAAAATTTTTCTATTAATATAATAATATTGATGATGTTATAATATTAAAACAATATGGTATTCAAAATTTTCGAATTTTTTCTAATTGAAGCCTTAATTAATTCAAAATAACTTTAACTCCCATAAAATCACTTTGATCCATTAGTTGAAATAGAACTTAAAAAATATGGAATCCACATATTTGTATATCCTTCTAAAAAGAAGATAATTAAAACACTGTAAAATTTTATTTTTTATTTCAATCGCAACAGAAGGAATTCACTCCACTATCATTTGAAATACAACATCGAGAGCAACATAGTTTTACAGTTTCAAAATCGAACACGTTACATCGAGAACGGGCAGGTAAACATGCGAAGCTCAATGTGGAGGTGGTAGTGGTGGAGGTGATGGAAGTGGTGACGGTGATGAAGGTGGAAATGGCGGTTGAGGTGGTGGTTGAGGTGGTGGTGGAGGTGGAGGTGGAGGTGGTGGCGGAGGTGACGGTGGAGGTGGAGGTGGAGGTGTAGGTGGCAGCGGAGGTGGAGGTGGAGGTTTCGATGGTGATGTAGGTGGAGATGGAGGTAGAAGTCGCAGTAAAGATTGATTTTATGGTTGAAACTTTAGGACATTCCAAGAAAATGGTTGGAGTACAAAAGATTTTCACTATGCATAGTCCATGCTTACATATGACTTTACGTTTACCAGGAATACAGATAACTTTATGATTTTTATGATTTTTATGATTTTGATTATTTTGATTATTTTGATTCCTCTCTTTTAACACTGGTGGAGTAAAAACGATAGTGGAAACGGTGGTACTAATAGAAGTGGAAGTAGTCGTGGCTACTAAAGTAGTCGTGGTGTCAGTAGTAGCTGTGGTGTCAGTAGTAGCTGTGGTGTCAGTAGTAGTCGTGGTGTAAGTGGTAGTCGTGGTGTCAATGGTAGTCGTGGTGTCAATGGTAGTCGTGGTGTCGGTAGTAGACGTGGTGGTGGTAATAGCCTCGGTGCCTTTAGTAGTCGTGGTGGTGATGGTAGTAGTGCGACTTCTTGGGCAATGAGGAGGAAGAATGGTTTTAGTATAATTTTCTGAAATAGTAACCGTACGACATTTTTTAGTTTCTACTGTTGATGAGAAAAAAAGCATAAAGACGACTAAACTAGTCGTGATGAAAAGGAAGTTTCCATTCAACCACATCTTGGAGATAATAAAAATGTCAGATTAATTGAATAAATTCAGAAAAGAGAAATTCGCAAACTAGAAAGGTCGGCATAAACTAAAATTTTATTGACTCTTAGAAATAAAATTAATTGTAATACTAACGATAAAGCATTAAATACATTTCGTATTACGTCAACGAAATTTTTGTTCTGAATCAATATAAACAAATTAGCGATCGATTTTTTCATAAATCTTGATTCATCTGGCAATATGTGGTTTAATAGGTATATTTTATTATACAATTCAACACAAATACAATTCGATTACTATAAATACTAATTATTATTATTACCTATTATATTATATATCTAGATTACTACTACACAATTCAAATAAAATGTCCGGTTTTTATGCTTTGCTAAATTACTTCGTAATTAAAGAAGTAGCGAGAAAGCGGACAATAATTATGAGTTAGGTAGTAAGTTAAATACAATTCGATTACTATTTTAATTTTGAGAAACTTTCTAAATGCAGTAGGTCCAATTAAACTTCCAATCGACAAACCGACAGGGGATATACGACAGGGGCGTTTCATCTGACACTTAGTAATATAGATATGAAAAAATATTTCGTAATACTCAGGACCATTGGTAATATGTTGGTAAGAGAAATTATCAAATAATATTGATTTTATTCCTTTTCAATTATAGTGGGACGTATAAAGTTGTTTTTTTTTATTCAGTTGGGTCTTCAAATAATTTATAACTTGGTAAAAAGACAAACCATCTTTGATTCATTCTTTTCGAAAAATAAGGTCAAATATATACATCAAGACTTGCATATTAGTAAAAACTTATATTCTTATATTGAAACAACTCCTGATGTATGTATGTATAGAAAAATTCTGGACTAATTCAAAAATATAAGGACATCAACTTTTTGAACTTAAAAATCAAAATAATTCAACAGATTCTTTAATAAGTATTGTAAAACCTAATAATAATCAAATAATAAAAAAATTTATTTCAATTATCATCTCAAAAATATGAAAATATTGATATATATGAATTTAGATTGTGAAAAAAAGTGCATGGTGTTCATTTCTTCATACTATAAGATGTATTAATGTTACTCCATGATCACGAGAAGAATCGGAGATAAAAATTTGTTGTATATTAGCATTAGAATATATCATTTTTATTTATTATTGATAATTACATTATGGTCTAGATCTCTTGATGCAAATGCAGATATATAAGCTTGGATTTGTTGTTGGTATATCATTTCATACAGATTTTAATTTTGTTTCAAGTAAGAAAATAGTAAAAAAAAAAAAAAAACTTGTGATGGAAAATTTTGAATTATCTATTATTGCTGAAAATTTCACCTGGTGTAAATACAAATTATATTAATTCAATATTATTTCTTGATTTTTTAAAACTAAAATAAAATTAGATTGGTTAACATCACGGCAAACAAATGGACATAGTTATGATGTATGATCGAGAGAATTATGAATAATTCATTTATTTGATTTTTTTTTTCAAAAATCAAGTGATTATAAAACAATCAATGAACTAAATTTCATATTGAGGTGGCACGAATGCCACGGGGAACGCTGTACGAGGATTGCGGAAGGTTACGAATGTCACGAGAGATGGTA